GAACGTGATGTCGATTGTGAAGAAACGAATAAGTCCTGAAATGGCAAAAGGACTCTACGGTACGGTCTCCACAGCGCCGACGATCTACAACCTGGTGAAGACGCACCAAATTCCGGCGAGAACAGACACAATGACTCTCCCATGGACTGAAATCAAAACGAAACCGAATATCTCGTCTTGTGGTGGACCTGCAGACGGATCAAGCTGGCCCTTAGTTCGTTTGCTCTTGCCACTTTTGCGTTACGTGGGAGCACGCATTGTGAATGTTGAAGAATTCATTTTGGCGCTTCACCAATATCCAGTGCCGACGGGAGGCTTCTACGCGAGCTTTGATGTAGTATCCATCCTTATACACTAACGTGAGTAACGCGGGAGCAGTGCAAGCTGTCTTTTTTCTCACCGAGGATAACAAAGACCATATCACGATGATGGGATTTTCCGAAGTTAAGAAACTCATCGAAGCAGCACTAGAATGCAACATTTTTCGCTTCGACAACAAGTTTTACAAGCAAAAACGAGGCCCTGCCATGGGTAATCGCATAGCACCTGTGTTAGCAGTCATCTTCTTGAACCACAACGAGAAGTCATCATTAACTAGTGGAGTTTTGCTGTTACAAACGTTATATTGATGAAGTATTCATTATCGAAACGACGGAAGAAGACCTTGTGGAAATATTGAAGAGACTTAACTCTCACGATGGTAACATAATCTTCACCAGGTAAGATTATGAAGGAATGGTAGGGTTCCTATCATTCCTCCATTCCTCAATGGGAGGACACGAATAAGTGAAGTCATAAGGAGCACCTATGGTATGGGAGAAGTGCCTCGTCGAACAACTTGTTGCACTCTAGAAGCGCACATCCTATTTATGTAACCGTCATGCGGAATCTTTTGAAAACGAAGGAGAAGCTTGGGACGCGAAGAGATTCAGTTGTTGATGCTATAATTGGTAGTTTCCTCGAAAGCACGGATACTTTGAAGGCAATACAAGGACTTGGGTCTCGCACATTACGGCTGAGGTGTGAGCCTCATTGTGCCTTTCGTCACCGACAAAATGACACGTGAGGTAAACCGCGTCGTCAAAAACTCCCAGCTTCCCATTCAACTTGTTTTCCGACCTCTCCTACACTAAGGATTGCTCGCGGCACCGTCTCTCGTAGATTCGGGGTGATGGTAGGAGATCCACCTACCACCATCCCGAATCTACGAAAGACGGTGCCGCGAACAGCCTTGTCGACACTGCACTTCTGAGAAGACCTGTGAACTCCAGGGCACTGTCTATTTGATTCAATGTGGGGTAATGTCGAGAAAAGTACGTGGGGGAGACCGCAAGACCACCGAAGATTCGTCTGGATGAACATAGAAGAGCGTTGCCCAATCCCGCTGCCTATCCACATAGCAGTTTTTCCCGGCACCGTTCGGCATGAGAAAGAAAACGCTACATCCTTCGATGTGAGGGTTTTGCATAGATATTTGGTACGGTCACTGGAAAGGAAAATCATGTCCCTTGTAAATGCTTCGCAAAAATGACTTCAACCTTCAACTGCCGTCCGAAGCTGTCTGAGAGCTATCGTCTATCACAAATTACTGTAAGGGCATAATCCACCGGCAGCAAATATCTGTGATGCATCCAGAGGAGTCAGCGCATCTCAGCCGAGGTGCGCCTCGTGACGAAACACCAAGACTAGCCGAGAAGTGGACTATGTCCGAGGAAGGTTTTAGTGTGTCGTCGACATTCTCAGGGAATGCTCTACTTTGGACAACTCACTGAGGGCTCTATCGTGACCGCCGAGATTTACGCTTTTCAGCTACAGAGCTTGGCCGACGTTGTACGAAGGAAGCGTCCGCAGCGTGAAAATGTCTGCTTTTTCACAACAGCGCTCAACCGCATGTTGCGAAATTTTGTCAGTAAATTGCCGAACTTGGATGGGCAGTGCTGCCTCATTCTACTTATTCACCATTGTTTCGCTCCGTCTGATTCCCGTTTGTTTCTTGCTCTGAAACATCACCTTCGCGACAGAAATAATGATGATTGCCCGTAACTCAAAAATGAGATCTCCTGCTTTTTCGAATCACGGCCGCCCCCGTTCTAGGCTTAAGGAGTCAAGAAAGTGCAGGATCGCTAGACGTATGTTTAGGACAACGATGGATACTATATTACTGATCGAGATCCTCTTTCAATGGGAATAAGACTTTTTAAAGTGAAGATTGAAAAGCCGATCCAAACTTTTCACTCAACCGTCTGACGAAGGCATTATATGCCGCAAGCTCACCGATAGAAGAGAAGAGCAAAGAGCTTCGAAAAGTACACAAACTGACAAGAAGACTAAATAAACCTCAGAGATAGCAGTATTTTAGGATATCTTTTTGATTTCCAAGCACACTCACCACGCACACCACCACACACATCGACTTACGCACATGGGCACATGCCCCGACACACATACAACACACTGCCACGCACACCGACATATGGTAAGTACTCGCCGTAAGAACTCAAAAATTTGCGATAACACCGCGAGTTTGCGTCTTTTTCGTCTTTTCTTTATAAATTTCTTCAAAATAAATTAATCGAGGAGAAAAAATACCAGCCCAACGAGCTCTACAAGGTGATACCCTAAAATGTTGAAAATGCTTTATTTTGGATTGCGCCATGCACTTGAGCTCCATCCGAAAAGTGATTGCATGCACATGGGATGCACGCTAAAGTGCTTGTAGGGGCTCGTTGGCCCTTGAAGATGATCTGTTCAAAATTTATTTCG